CATGAGTTTCTTGGCAAGGTTTGTCAGAGGGAACTTGCATTTGCCTTCCTCTGAGGCTGAGAGACTATGGGCCTTTACAGACTGCCAGAAATAATGCAGCTTGAGGCTGCTTTAATTGTCCTGGCTCAGTGCTAAGGAATCATGAGAACTGTAGTTTATTGTGTGTAGCACCAGAGCTCTCTAACAGAGAAGGCTCAATGTTCTGGAAAAAAATACAATTCCCATGATTCCTGAGCACTGAGCCAGGACAGTTAAAGTGGACTTAAGCTGCTGCATTATTTCTGGCAGTCTGTAAAGGCCCTATGACTTGCCCAATCGAGGTCCACTGGATTTCCATGGCTGAGAGGGATTCAGACCCTGGTCTCCAGAATCATAGTCCCACCACTCCACATACGGCTTCCCTAAGAACCTTAGCTTTCATTTTTAAGAGTAATAGTAATTTCTGGCTCTTGTAATTATTCAACATCCAGTGACATCTTTCTGCAAAGTTCAGGATTTTCAGGGGTAGAGTTATAATGCCCAGCAGAGGCCCTTGCTCCTCCTTACTCTGACGAATAGTGCCAGAATAATAAAAGCTCAACAAATGTTTAATAAATATATCAAAATATGCTTGAATTGCATAATTTATGCAAATCAATTCAACCTTACTCCAAGGAGTTTACTTTCCTTGGTGCAGAAATAGGAAGGGTTTTTGTGTATGAAGTCTCCATCAAAACGGCTAACGTTCTCTCCTGTGATGTAGTGAGGATCTCTGTTCCCTGCTCAGGCACCTCCTGATGTCTTTCTCCATTTTTCCCAATTGCTGCAGGTGGCAGTGCCAGATATCGTGAAGGCCTCAGAGGGTGCTGACATCCTTTTGTTTGTAGTGCCGCACCAGTTCATCGGGAAACTCTGTGACCAGCTGAAAGGCCATATCAAGAAGGATGCAATTGGTGTCTCACTCATCAAGGTGTGAGTGAGGCTAAGAGAGGGGGGTGCTCTGGGGAGCTGCAAGGCAAGGGACAGGAGCTGGCTGAAGCTATAGAAATCCTGAGAATTAACTGTATGCAACGGGGATTTTGCAGCACCTTTGAGACTAACTGAAAGAAAGACATTGGTAGCATAAGCTTTCATAGACATGGGACTACTTCCTCAGATTCATTCAGAAGTGTTTGCTTGCATGTGCTAGAAATAATTTCACTATGCTTAATGGGAAAGATATAGAGACATGAAAGTTGGCCTAACGTTTGGAATATTACTTTTAAAAGGAATAAGTTTTAGTTAAGTTATAACCCTCCTCTCAAAGTAGCTAGTTGCCACCACACTTGCAATTTAAAATAAAAACCAAAACAGTAACTCTGACCTAAATCAAAACCATACAGGGCAAGCAGAAAGACCTTTCATAAAATGGTAGTTATTAGTAGTAGTTTGTCTCCAATCCCTGGTGGTGCAGTGGTCACCAATCCCTGGTAATGCAGCCAAAACATGGTGAGTTGGATCCCAGAGGGCTCCAGGTTGACTCAGCCTTCCATCCTTTCATAGGTCAATAAAATTAGGGGGGGGGGGATTGGCTAACACATTGTAAACAGCTTAGAGAGTGCTTATCACCATTAAGCAGTATAGAAGTGTAAGTGCTATTGCTATTGCTAAGTTGTTTCCGATCCTGTCATGGAGTTTTCTTGGCAAGATTTGTTCAGAGAAGATTTAGTAGTAGCATATCCTTAATTATGCTGTGTTAATACATGTAGTTAAGGGACAGCAGCACTCCAGATGTTTTAAATGCCTGTGTGGAAGAGTAAGTCAGAAAGAGACCTGTTGGGCGTAAGCACAGGCGGGCCCTAGAATCACAGGCAACTAGCTACTGCAGGGCTCTCAGTCAAGGTATCCCACTGAGCTGGTATGACTTGTACATTTGATTGGATTGCAGGGGGTGGACGAAGGCCCTGATGGGCTGAAGCTGATATCAGACATCATCCGGGAGCAGCTAAGCATCGACATGAGTGTGCTAATGGGAGCCAACATTGCCAATGAGGTGGCAGAGGAAAAGTTCTGTGAAACCACCATTGGTAATGAATTTGTACTTACTATTATGGGAAGCTGGGATGCATCTGTGCATAGAACAACTCTCAGCTCATCCTCTTGAACTGTTCCCTTCATGCCAACTTCTTGAGATATCAGTCTGCAGATCATATTTTTGGCTGGTGCAGTTTTGTGTAAGAGCACTTGCATGCTGAAACACCAGTGGCTGATGCTGGTAAAAGCAGATGGTTGAATTTCTGCCTGCCAGTAAAGATGCATTTTTAGAGATAATTCTATTGCTAGTCCCATCAAGAGGCCTACTTTTGGTTGATTCACTTGTACTTATGCAAATGCTCCAATACCAAGCTCCTATATTGCTTCAACCCTAAAGAGAGATTCATCCAGTGCAGTCAGAGGGGAAACAAGTGCAGCCCCTCTGGTCAATTAGCCCCCAGCTCCTGTGAGCCACCTTCCTCTCTTACCAGTTGTGGGAAGCAGGAATCCTGGTGTGCCAGCTGGAGTGAATTAAGTGAATGATGGGATCTAAGATCCTTGCAGCTTGTCCACACCCGGAGTAAGAAGTGGCAGTGTTCATAACAGGTCCAAGTCCTTAAATGTCTGTATCCATTTTCCTAGGAATCAAATTGACAGAGATATGGATCCCTCATAGGATTTCACAAGGATGCAGTACAGCTATTGTATCTACCTGACATAATCACAGCAGGAAATGCTGGCATTATGTGGATCTTGGATATGGACTATAGCTCCCAGAACCCTGCAGTTTGTGGCCATATTGCCTGGATAGTGCTGGGAGTTGTCCAAAAAAAAGTACAATTTCTAAGCTAAAAACATATTTGTGTAAACCCAATGTGTTTGCTGAACTTGAATTAGAATGCCCATTGCTACTCTAGTGCAAATCCAATGGCCAGAGCAGTATAAAGGCACAAGGATACTACAAGGGGAACGTGGTGATGCGTGCTTTGTTGTGGGTTCAGAAAGGAAGAGGGGAGGCAGCAAGGCTGATCTGTTTGTCATCTAGCCCAATACCGTCCACCAAGCTATGAAACTCATTGGGCAATCTAGGACCAGTCACCTTCTCTTACCCTGACCCCCCTCATATAGTTGTTGTTAGGATAAAGGGGGGGAGGGGGAGAGCCCTTGATCTCAGTAGAGACAAGATTTGGTATAAATATAGTATGCAAGTCAATCAGCCAATCAAATTTCTCATCATCTAAATCTTGTAACTGCAGAGACCAGGCATTGAACCAGGGACTTCCTCCCTGCAGAGCAGGTGATCTATGAATATGTGTGTTCTCCTTGCAGAGAAGAAGAGATGTTTTCCTGTATGTGGTGGTGCTGCTGAGAATTACCTCTCTAGTTCTAAAAACCCAATAAAGACAGTAATGTATTTCTTTAGTTAATCTACACCAGGGGTCGGCACCCTTTGTTGCCGGGGGGCCGGGGGAGGGGGGGAAATGGTGCGGGGGCCAGTCATGCGGGAGCTGTAGAAGCATGCGTGCACTTGCGCACATGCGCACACCCCTGACAACCGCCATGGGGCCTTTCCAAGGCCCCCCGCCCCGATCCTTGGGCGAATTCACCCAAGGATCGAGCGGAGGCACCTTGGAGGACCGTCTCCAAGGTGCCTCTCCTTGATCCTGGGGTGAATTCCCCCCAGGATCAACCAGAGGAACCTTGGAAAGGTCCCTCCAAGGCCCCCCTGCCCCAATCCTTGGGCGAATTCACCCCAGGATCGTGCGGGGAGGCCTTGGAAATGGGAATAACCGCCGCGACCCCCCCACGCGCTGCCGCCAATGCGCACGCTGCCACCTGGGCCGGTATGCGTGGGGCCCTGGGCCAGAACCAGCCCGTGGGCCGTAGGTTGCCGGCCCTGATCTACACCCTGATTTGCCACCCAAAAGATGGCTAATAGGTCAACATCCTTGACTGCCACTTTCAACAACTGAAAACAGATGGTTTTGAAAGGTACAGATTCTACTAACCAATGCAGTACCTCTGGTACAGTTTCCATTATCTTTGTTAAGTGTACTACTTTTCATCTCTGAGAAAAAAAAAATGCTTCTATTCACCAAAGATGGCCCAGTCCCTGACTGGATCTCTTCTCTCCTATTTTCTGTATCCAAAAGAATGAATAACATCCCTCCCACCTCATTCATTCTCCACTTCCAGATGGTTTATGAAGTGGGCTGTAAGTAAGAACAATGTAAGCGCAGGCTGACAACTTCCAAGAAAAGGACTCACTTTTCTTCCACATCATCTGTGCCAATCCACTACACCATCAGTTGTAGGCTTCCCTCAACCTGGCACCTTGCATGTGTGTCAGACTACAAGCTTGATCACACCTCAGTGAAAGTGACCAAAAGGTAGAGGGTGCCAGGGAGTTGAAGATGATAAAGCCTCCCAGGGAGTAGGGCTGGAATTTGGGGAAATCTTCTCTTAGAGACGTTGAAGAGCCAAGATCATTCAGAGTAGACAGTATTGAACTACCGTATTTTC